AGAGAGATGGCTCAGCTGTTAAAGGCTAGGCTCACAACCAAAAATATAAGAGTTCGGTTCCCAGCACCCACGGCTGTCTCTCCAGCCACCAAAAAAATAAATAAATAAATAAATAAATAAATAAATAAATAAATAAATAAATAAATGTTAATGACAGCTTATATTGGAGAGAATGTGGAATACAGGGAACATTCCTCCACTGCTGGTGGGAGTGCAAACTTGTACAGCCACTTTGGAAATCAGTATGGACATTTCTCAGAAAATTTGGAATCAATCTACCTTAAGACCCAGTGATACCACTCTTGAGCATATACCCAAAGGATGCTCAATCCTACCGTGCTTGAGTATATATATATATATATATATATATATATATATATATACACACACACACACACACACACACACACACACACACAGAGAGAGAGAGAGAGAGAGAGAGAGAGAGAGAGAGAGAGAGAGAGAGAGGCGGAGAGAGAGAGAACATGAGCACTTTTTCAGTTCTTGTTTGGCTTGCCAAATTAAATAGTTCCCAAATCTGAAAAATCCAAGATCCTGAAGATCCAGTGTCTAGTGAGGACCTGCTTACTAGCCATAGATGGCCATCTTTTCACTGTGTCTTCCCATGGCAAACAAGGTAAGGAAACTCTCTTAGAGTCTATTTCATCAGGACACCAAGGCTAGGGGTGTAGTTTAGTGGTAGAGCCCTTGCCTAGTATACATGAGGCCTTGAGTTCATTTCCTAGGATGGGGTGGGGGGAGATGGATGGATGGATGGATGGATGGGTGGATGGATGGATGGATGGATGGATGGATGGATGGATGGATGGATGGGTGGATGGATGGATGGGTGGGTGGGTGGATGGATGGATAGCAGGCAGTTGATTCTAAGGGTTCTATTCTGGGCTCTTATCACCTACTCTAGGCCTTTCCTCATAATGCTATCACTATGACTATCAAAATGAGAACCAAATTAAGAATGCAGACCAAGACTGTTATTAGTGCCATCTCCTTTCTTTCCCAAGCTCTTCCTCCTAATCTTTAAGAGATTATCCTCCTACTCCTGTGTACTGAAAAGACTAAATGATTCCTAAAGCACTTAAAGCCAATTGAGCATACAAATAGATTGTCCCTATAGAAACCTCTGTAACTCCAGATAATCGCTACAGAGTTCTTCAGATTCATGTATTTTAACATAATTTCTATGGGGTCTTTTGTATTTTTAGAAAATGTAATGCATGTCTTTATAGTTGTTCTCAAACCTCTAGATAAAGAGTAGGAAGCAAATCTCCATTGTCAGTTCCAGGTAATTCCTTCCCACTTTATTAACCTATATACATTAGCTGTGGTCAGCCTTGGACTTCTCCCTGACTTTTTCTATGCCATGCTTGTCACTGAATATTTCAGCCTGTGGGTTTATATGAGATAAGAAGGAAAGTTTTAAATATTAGTGAAGCTTGAACATGTTGAACACTGTATAAAAGGTAAGATAACAGTGAAAATTCTACATAATTCTGGTTCACGGGATGATGGGCAGTGATTTCTGTCAATAGACCTGTGAACTGAAAACTGTCCTGTAGCTATTCAGAAGCTACTATCCTCATAGCTTTTCAGAAGCTTTATGGAGTAAAACATCATCATCATCTATATCGAAATGTAGTAAAGGAAACCATAACTCCCTAGTCCAGACTTTGACCATTTTACTTATCATGTTTACTACAAGTATTCCATCTAAGGTGTGGTGAGCCTCTAGAGCCAGCTCATTTCCATTTTCAATTTTCCAGAACAACTGCCAAGTCATCCTCTGGTGCTTACTTCTGTGCCCTGCTAAGAAGAAAAGTTATCTTGTCCCAGTCTGTGTTATTCTACCTACCTACCCTGCCCTCCCACCACTTAATTACTCCTAGCCACAGGAATGTGTGTGGCTGAACAAGAGACTAAGTAAGCCCAGGAGCCCTCTGTCCTGACCTGTGGAGGTTGGAACTTGGCTGTGATCCATCACAGCCCTAAATGTTTTGAATCTGAGTTTTTATCATATACATTCTTTTCAGAGCATAGTCAACATCATGGAACATGACCAGGGACTAGCACACTGTTCTCAGTTGTCCAGTATAAACAAAAGATGATAGATGATTATTACTGAATTCACTTCCCTGATACACAGATCAAAAAGAAATATTCCAGGAGACTCTTTAGTTCTTCTGACACACAGTGTTATTAGATGATGGAATTTTATCAGAAATGCTATTCCCTAACATGAGCCAGTGTACATTTTCTTAGGTATAAGAACTATTTCAAATAACATTGCTATCATACTTACTTTTTAAATTCTTTTTCTCTAAAGTCAAGACTGGTGGGAGTTCTTTGACTGTATAAGCAATTTTTAAGCAATAACTTAGGGTTCTATGGAGGACCATCATACAAAAATCTTAAGTGTTAAGTGAGTATCTTAAATGTTTAAATGAAATTAATTTATATAAAAGAAAAGTTTTTATCTAGAGTGTACTGTACATTTGGGGAAGTCTTTGAATCTGTTGAAAAATATGTAAGTTTATATATGTATGCCATTTTTGAGAGAAAGACAGTTATTCTATGATTGGCAAAGGGATATATGACCTGGTAACTATTAAGACTCACATTATGGGCCTACATCATGAGGGCATACAGGTGTTGACCAAGTACTACCTTATATCTCATTTGTCTGCTTTTTAAATCTGAATGTGTATAATTGCTGAATGTTGTAGCTGTAAATTCTTCTATTTAGAAAAGTAAATAAGGAAAGGGAAGAGGAAGGAAACTATATATCTGGAATTTCTATAGACCAGAGCGATGAAAAGAGTCTTGGAAAAAAAGGTTTACTCGCATTGTATGGGAATTAGACCATGGAAGGCAGGGATAGAAGCAGGAAAACCAGTTAAGAGTTGAATGGCTGTCATCTAGGGGTCAAATCATAGGTCAGTTGGGCTATTCCAGGATAGTAGGTGATGAGGAATGATCACATTCTGAATATGTTTTGAGGGTTAAAGTCTATATGGAGGGCACAGGGAAGAAAATATCAGCTTTATTGCCTAACTAGCAGGAGGAATGAGTTGCCATTTCCTGAGATGAAGGAGCTTGAGATAGAAGTGGCTAGAAACCAATGGTTCTCTACATTTGAGTGGACAATAGGTCTAGGATGGACAGGCTAATGAGCTTATAGCTTAGGGAAGAGACAGTTCAGTCACCAGTGTATAGATGAGAATTAAGCCCTGAAACTAAATGAAACCACATAGCTGATGAATGCATATGTGGAAGACAAAGCCAGGGGGCAGAGAAGATGGACAGAAAACCTACAGCAGCTGGTGAGTTAGTATGAGAATCAGATGAGGCTGGAAGACTAAGGACTGATAGAAGAAAGTTTTGAGAAAGGGAGGGGGCATAGTCAAATGTGTCAGTGACACTGATGGGTGAAGTGGGATTCCAGCCAAAGTAACCCTAGTGATGGGATCTGGCAATACATAACATGTAATAGCCTTGGTAGAAGTATTGGGGAGTGATAGGGACAAAAGTCTGAGAGAACAGACCTCATGAAAAGAAATGAAGAGACTGAAAAAAAACTAGAAGTAAAAGAAATTCAAAGGGTGTCTGTCACATTGTGTGGACCTTGTAATTGGTTGTTTTATTACTCTATACTTTTTTGGGGGCCTGCCACCCAGCTCCCAGATAAACACACATAGAGTCTTATTCTTACTTATAAATGCCTGGCCTTAGCTTGGCTTGTTTCTAGTCAACTTTTCTTAACTTAAATTATCCCATCTACCTTTTGCCTCTGGGCTTTTATCTTTCTCTATTTCAGTATCCCTTTCTTTACTTCTTATTCCATGGCTGGCTGTGTAGCTGGGTGGCTGACCCCTTGAGTCCTTCTCTCACTCCTTAATCTCCTCCCAGATGTCTCTTCCTATTCATTCTCTCTGCCTGACAGCCCCACCTATCCTTTCTCCTGCCTCACTATTGGCCATTCAGCTCTATTAGACCATCAGATATTTTAGACAGGAACAGTAGCACAGCTTCACAGAGTTAAACAAGTGTAACACATCTTTGCATCATTAAACAAATGTTCCACAGCATAAATAAATTAACACATCTTAAATTAATATTCCACAATAGGAACTTTCTTGGATCCCAATTCAAATAACTCAAGTAAGCAAATATTGAAGACTAGGTGGATGTGTGGCTAGAGGCAGATGGGGAGTTCTTTTTTAATGATAACCTGTCTCTGTAGCCCAAGCTGGCCTCAAACTTGTAACTGTCTCCAGCTGCACCCTCCAGTAGTATACCTCCAAACCTGGCTATTGTTATTCTCTAAATGTGATACCACTGGTAATATATATATATATATATATATATATATATATATATATATATTTAATTCTTTTCATTTTAAATAACTTATGTGTTAAATGCTACAGTTCCAGAATTTGCATCAAAGAAATAAAAGAGTGATAAGATTATATGGGAGTAAAAATGAAGTGAATTCACTGCAAGTTTTGATCATTAAGCTGAGCTGTGAACTCACTATACCATTCTAGTCTGTTTTTATATGTTTTAGCATGTTTCTTAATAAAAAAGGAAAAGAAAAATGAAGTTAGGGTAGCAGCTATAGATAACAGAAAGTTAAAACACAGAAGTAGATTTCATTCACTATAGTTGGTCATGTAACTCTATGTAACACAAACTGTTAAAAAAAAAAAACATTTAAGACAGACTGTTATACTATCAAATTTCCTAATCCCAAAATTAGGTTGTTCAAAAACAGAAACAATGTTATAAGCTTGTTGTAGCCCTAATGTATACCACGTTATGGATTTCAAATCTCATAGATTCTGTTAGAATAGTTGTCTGTATAACAATTGTGTCTCAAAATCCTGGATTTTGTAATGACTTTTTTGTAAACTCTCTCATCTTTTTTTTTTTTTGAGGAATTAACATTTTCTATTTTGTTGTGGTTTCAACATCCTTGCCAAAATTATGTTGAAATTTACTTGTTACTAACATAATGACATATAGAACCTTTAGGACTAGGTCAGCATACTACCCTTGTGAAGAAAGTGGACCAGGAATGGGTTGGTTACCATGACAGCAGGCTCCTGATAGAAGGGAAGTTTTACCGTCTGTCTTGTGTGCTCACCTGAACTTCTGCCATGTTAAGATGGTCCAGAGGCCCTCACCTGATGTGGCCCCTCAGTACTGAACTCACCCTGTTCCAGAACTGTTTGAGATAAGCTTTCATCGTACGTTACCTAGTTACCTGTGATGCTGTTACAGCAGCAGAGAATCTGCTCAAGTGCCAGTGCACCGTTCCTGTGGCTGCCCGGTGTGTCCTGTACTTTGCACAGCTGCCCGTGGCGGGGTGTAAAGTGATGAAGGACCATGGCCTCCCCTCTCAGCTTTGCAGTGTTGCTGTTTTCATCTCTGAGTGAAATTTCAAAGGAAGGAAAAAGGAGCCACTTAGTGTCACTGTATATTATCTCTGTGAAAACTCACTTCACATTACATGAAGTACAAATAAACTCCTCCAGTAAGTCAGAAGAAATATGCGAATACAAAAATAACAGGGATAGACACTTACCGCAGTTACGGAAAGAACACAGTAAGAATGGGAACGAAGGGCGGCATTCAGAATCACACCTGACCACGTAGTGATGGGAAGAAATCAGTGGAGTATTAGATATGCCATGCCAGTCTCTTGCTCTGATCAAGGCTTTCAAGAGCAGTCCCAGAAATGTCTTCAGTAATCCAGACAAGACATCGTTGTGCTAGCCAGACAAGTTTGCTGTGACAAAGACTTGAGAAAAAGCACGCCAAAGGGTGAATTCCTTATCTGGGCCCATAGATTTAGAGGTCTGTGATGAGGGTATTGACTGAGCAGAGCCACTTCCCGCGTAGAGCCCAGGAAGCAGAAAGAAGGAATGACCATTTTCTCTTTTACTTCTTGGCTCCCAGCCTGTGGGATACTGCTGGTCACTTTCAGGGCAGGCCCACCCTTCTCAGTCATCTATGGAAGCACACTCGTGGACACACCCAGAAATGTGTTTAACCTAGGCACTTGTCAATTCCACCAGGATCACAGGCAGGATTCATGATCACAGCATGTTATTTTAAATCGACACAGAGAAATCTTTTTCTTATCTCAAACTTGTATGACTTAAGGTCTTGCCAAATTCTTACAAACTGGTTAAACAATTCACAAGCATTACCAATGTACCATGGTCAAATGTTGCAATACTGATTGTGTTCCATATTTTCAGCATTCCAGAATGCCAAGAGGACTCGTAAGGCTAGCACAGCACTGGCCTCAACTGAGCCTCCAATAAGTGCATAACCCCAGCTACTCATTAGAGTGCTCTTCCAAGTTCTCTCACTTGGTACCATGCCCATCCAGAAATAGTGTTGCCATCCCCCAACTGTAGCATTTCTGGGGGGTAGGAAGACGAGACTCCTCTGGGTTTGAGCAGTGTATTGTTCAGCTTTCTACAGCCCCACATTGGAATGCCAAAGTGTTGGGAATTGTTTTTGCCTTTTGGGGGGCCCACCACCCAGCTCCCAAATAAATCACACACAGGCTTATTCTTAATTATAAATGCCCAGTCTTAGCTTAACTTGTTTCTTGCAAGCTTCTTAAATTATCCCATCTACCTTTTACCTCTGTTTTTTTTTTTTCCTTTTCTTACTTCTGTAATCTTACTTTCACTCTTAGTCTGTGGCTGGCTGTGTGGCTCACCCCTAAAATCCTCCTCTCCTTGTTCTCTTGCTCTTTCTTTTTCTCCTTTATATTCTCTCTGCCTGCCAGCCCTTCCTATCCTTTCTCCTGCCTTGCTATTGGCCATTCAGCTCTTTATTAGACCAAGCAGGTGTTTTAGAGAGGCAAAGTAACACAGCTTCACAGAGTTAAACAAATACAACATAAATAAAAGTAACACACCTTCAAATAACATTCTACAACAGCAGTGTGTTTGTTAACTATCCTGTCTCCAGTATGAACTTCAAACTCATAAAGGCAAAGGTTAGATCAGGCGACTTAGTTGTCCCTCTGTGGTGGCTTGAATGAGAATGGCCCTCTGTTCCTCCCTACCCCTTGCTGACCTCTGGGCTTTGCTTGCTTGCTCTGCTTGCTCGCTGTCACTTGGCTTTCTGCATGAGCCTATTTGGTGCTTCTTTTACACCTTCTCTAGCCTCAGCTTACTGTGTCTTGGCCTTATTTAACCTCAAGTACTCTGTGGCTACCCAAACATCCTATTTCACTCATTTTCCTGCTCCACAAAAATTGATTTCCTTTGGACAAACATACCTATCTCTTAGCCCAAGCTAAGATACAGGATAAGGACAACAAAATGGAATGGCACCTACCAAACCCTGCCATGTGCTGTGGTTTAAGTTGTGCTTACCCGACTCTAGACATGCATACCAGCACCAGAGAGTACTTACCAGAGCTATGATAAAAACACAAGACCTTCATCCTCTTTGCATGGGCATACTGCCCACATGTTTAGACTGCCCACCGTCTAAACATCCCTAAACCTCCCAGCAATGTCCAGATCTATAGGGATCTTTCACTATAGACCTTGGCTGTACAGCCCATTATTCCCCCATTGGACTACACTGTAAGAATTGAAGCTTTGGGTCTCAGACTAACTGACCTATGATTAATCCCATTGTCCAATATTGGCTCAGTATTGACTGACATTGAAATCAGCTAGGGTGGGCTCTAAACAAACAACTGTGCTGGAGCACAGCCTCAGAAACTCATTACCAGTGTGGAATTGACCTTGATATTGCTGCTTTATTAAAAGCACCCAGACAGTTCTGCTGGCTTGATCCCCCAGCCCACTGGAGCATCCTGAACTTCCACCAAGGGGACTAGCCCAGTATGTCTGGGTGTGTGCTTTCCCTGTGGAGTCTACAGTCTCTAGACCTTTCCTCCTATGACCAGTCTCTCCAACATTTGCTGAGGCTGCTGAAGGTCTGCCCCCTGAAGAGGGAAGGGTAGAACCAACAAATGCCTACATGTGTGGTTCTCCCAGTCCCACCACAGATCTCCATATGCGACTTGACTTTTTATCACAGTGAAAGCCAAACCCAACATATTCAAAGCCATTTCTTTCCTCTCTAACCTATCAAGCTCTCACCAAAATACTGTCTGATCAGTGTAGCAACTTTCATCATCAAATTTGAATTCCTATTCACTTCAGGAGTCAGTAATGAAAAAGTGATGGAGTGAAAAGACGGTAGCGGACAGCTTCCTCAACACCTGTTGAAGTCAGAAACGCTACTAAGTGCCCTAATGACTGCTTCTGTAACCCCGTATAGCTTTGTGTTAATTGTTTGATTACCATCTCCTCCATTTATAAATACCCCAAACCTGGAACAGTGTCTAATACTGATGAGACGCTCAGGGAAATGAGCAACTGGGAAAGAAGAAGGGCTGGAGTGGGAAAGATGAAAAGATGTAGCCGTGGTTCTGCAGCGGGACCAGTATTTGACATGGATGACTGGAACCACAAAGAATGAGAGCAGAACTCCCAATCTCATGTGCAAATCCAACAGTTGATTTTTTTTTTTTTAACTGCAATGCAGTTTGGATCCTGTCAAGGCAATCCGAACATCTTCTATCTCCTTGTGCTCCCATTCTGCCTCCCTTTTCAGACCACCCACGTAGCAGCAGCCTGGCTGCTTCCCATCGCTTCCCTCTGCCTATGTTGCCATTCCAACTTCCCAGCTTTCCAGCAACCTGGTTGTTATGTCCATCGGTAATAAGAACTCTTTACAGCTTTACAGCACCAGTTAAGAGATTAGTTAAATGTACATAAGTCCTTCCCCGCTCATTTTCTCACTTCTAAGGTGTTTTTTAAGTGCTGAAAGCTGAGTGCTTCCCCACAAGGCCCTTCAGCATGCTATGTTTATCTAGGATTTCCAGCCTCCATGGTAATTGTACTGCTCCATGTGGGAAGGCGCAGCTGTGTCAGTAATCATCGGTATGGCACGGTGCTACCTGCACATTCAGGTGGATGAATCTGGTGCCGCTGTTCTTGAGGACTAGGCTTCAAAGCCAAGCGAGCAAGGCCAGGCAGAAGAGGAGCTCCCTGTGGCCTGTGGGACACCTTTCTACATGCAGCAGCACAATTTCCCCAACATTATTTCTGACTAAAGATTTCCAGCTGGTACTTTAAAGGAGCACAGGATTTGAACTGTGGCCATGTGAGTCTCAAGGGGCTAGAGAGAGCAATGGAGGAAGAGGCGTGTGGTCAGCAATATGGCATCCATTTATGGGAACTGCTGTGAGGAATGCTGTAACCACAGTCCAGCAATACATGCTCTGCCTACACACTGACACCTCTCTCCTTTTGTCTTAAGACAGTATTTTGTACAGTTGTCCCTGAAATTTAAGGGGGGGTTGGGGTTTTTTTTATATATCTTTTATATTCATCTGTTTATTTTGTTTGTCTTTATGGCCTCATGAACCATAAGGGAGATGTCTTTTAAAGTGTACGTTCTTGAGTCTCAGGTTAATAAAACACAGTCTCTGGATCTGAGGCCTTGAACATATCCTAACCAAACTACTCAGCTGGCTCTTTTGATCCCTAAGCTTGGACCACTGTGCTGAAACCTAACTATTAAGCCTCAAATATCTGCAGGAAGCAATAGCCCTATGAGCAGACACTAATCATCTTTGTTGACATACCTAAGGTCAGGATTTTGTGGAGTGATGAGAAAGAAGTGTAGTCTACAAGCTGCCAAGGAGAAGGAAGGGCATCCTACCCGGAGGCAGGAATAAAGACAGAAGAGTTGAGGAGCCAACGGAAAATGTGCCTCCATATTTTCCCCCAGTTTAGTAGTTATTTGTCATGATTTAGTTCAACATAGCAAACTTGTGTTGACCTCTTGTCACGGACCAACACTGGGAATAAAAGGAAGTAGAACTGAGCCACTTCCCTCAAGGGGGTTACAGTTCAGTAAAGGAAGCTCTTAAAATGAGTCATTTGAATAAGTTCAGTAAGACTAAAGATTGAGGATCAAGTTAGAATCTTTGAGAGCTGAGAGAAACCCTAACAGAGAGAAGGTTAATACTGCACAGGAGAACCAGTCTAGACGGTGACAGGAAAACGGGCCAGCACTTCAGGAGTACAGTGAATGAGAAGGGCAGTCAGGGACCCTGGAGAGGCCAAGTCTGGAAGAAGTCTATGTCTATATACCTTTTACATAGTCCTGTGGGCCAGGCATCTAGAAGGTCTCCTGGATGAGGCTTTATGTATTTCAAGTTGATGATCTCAAAACATTCATTTGATTTCTTCAAAAACATGCTACAGCCAGAGTGTGCTCTCTCTGAGACATTCTACATAGAACTGTTGTGATAACTTTACCATAATATTAAAACGTGTTCAAAGTAGATTTGGGGCTGCTTTAGCTGTCATGGA